TACCCCGTTGTTTACAGCACACTCAGCATCTGCAAAGGCACAATGAACCAATGGGGAGGGAGGAAAAGGAAAGAAACAGGAGTCTTTCCTTGCAACACAGTAGCAGAGGAGGGCTGGGAGAAAGCTTACAACGGTGGGCTTTGCTCAGTGCCTTTTGACTAAATCTAGATCCAGGACAGAGGCAGCCTCCTGCCCCAGGTCACACAGGAGCTACCTGGGCAGACAATGGAGACTGGGATGCTGTGGAAGGTCAGAGTTCAACAAAGCAAGGCACGATCCTCTCAATGCTATTAAAGTTACACTTATTTTTAAACCCTCTCCACTCCTGGTCTGGTAGCTTGTATTAGGGAGACTTCTTGAACAGCTTGGCATTTATGAGGACTGTGCAGCCTAGACGGCTCCTGAGGATCTGCCACATCAGCTTAGGATAGAAGGTTCTGTGCACAACAGTAACCCCTTCTGAAACAAAAAGCCTCAATGTGGGCTCAAGTGGGCCCTGGCAGAGACAAGGCAGCCCACTGTGACCCTGGGCGAAACTTAATTGCTCTCTGGGAGAGCACGGATTTCTCATTTCAGCAGAAGCTATATTTAACAACATCTGGCGTAAAGGTAATGGTGAGTGGGGGAGAAACAGGGACCACACCCCTGCTGAACTCCGTGCTGAGACTTACTTCACTCTGTCTCCCTCACCTGTCCCACCAGGGGCATGGCAGCTTCCAAGGGGTGAATTCCTCTATAAAGAAATGTTTTAGTAACATGTTAAATGACAGTCTAGCAAATTATTGAAGACATGTGAGTGCTGCCCAGTTCCTCAGGGAACTCTTCAGCCCTCCTTTCATTAATGGCACCAGGGACCTGAGTAAACTTCCACAGCAGGTTGCTGACCTGGGACACTGGACCAACAGCTGGAGAGCCTGTGTGGGACCAACCTAGGCTCTCTGCCTGTGGGGTCTGCTTGTGGGAACCCTAGCAGTGGGATCAGGACCTGTCCCTGGCGCATGAGCTGGTTTATGGGAACCTATTCCCCATGCTGGGTTGCCTTGCCCAGCTTTGATATAGGGGGAGGAGCCTGCCTCAACTTGATATGCCATGCTTTGTTGACTCCCATGGGGGGCTGCCCCTTTCTGAACAAAAGAGGAGAGGCTGGGGCAGGGGACAGAAAGAGAGGAAGGAGGGAAACTGTGGTTGGTATGTAAAATAAATCAAAAATTTAATTAAGAAAACAAGTGCTCGGAGAACACAGACAATGTGGGGCTCCTCAGAGTGGACAGTAGGGGTTGCCATCTTTCTGTTCCCTATCTGGTGAAGGGGAAGTCTGGCACCCCATGTGCCACACTGGTACAGAATCCAAAATGGAGAAGAAATGCCCACTTTCCGTTGTCCCACTTCATGCCTCAGAGGGGCTGCAGGCCAAAGTGGGGAAGGCACAGTCAACCTGCCCTCATTCAAGTTCACTCTCAGATCTGTGGGGCTGGCAGACTGCTCAGAAGCCATGCAGTGGAGCCAGTAGGCTCTGTCCAACACTAGACCCGACACTGCAGAACCCTGAGGACTTAACGACATATTCAGGAGGGAATTCACCACTCAATTCCTCTCAGGGGCTCTGATCTGCCCTGCTCCCTGTCATATCTCCAGGGGGGATAGGATGTAAACACAGAGATTGGCTCACAGAACAGACAGGCAGGCACACGACATGAGTAAATGGTGACATGTATCTCAAGTCCATCACCTATGTGGACAGGCTCTGGGAAGAGCGGCCATGGTCTCTGCAGAACTAGGCAGGTCCTGTGACCGTGTGATACAGTGAGCACATGACACCATGAGCATGTTTGAAACCAGCCAGAGAGCCATGTGTGTGGTGGGGAGAACAGGGTAGCATTAGGATCTACCGGGGTAGCAGGATCTGAGGGGTACAGAGTCACCAATGGCCAAAGCCGAATGTTGTATGGTGGGGGGCAGGGCAAAATCAATCTTATGTTCAAGAGAAGCCTGGAATCTCAATGTTCTAATCTGATGGCGTTTTACAGTGGCAACCACATCACTTCAGAAACAGAGGGATCAGGTGTGTTCACAGGCTGTAAGTTTCCCAACTGCATCCCCAAACCTAGGTGAGGGCACCATCTGCCTAGGCTCCCCATGTGATGGGAGCAGCCCTAAGATCAATTATGCCTCCTCTCTGGCTGCACATGTTTCCATATTACAAAATAGTCTACACATGTAATCATATCGCTTTAATCTGACTGGTACAAAACCTTGTGGGGTTGGCATTTTAACGGCACCTTCATACAATTCCATCAGGAAACTGAGAGCCTAGAAGATGATGAGAAAAGACGGGTGTGGATGAGGCTGGTCCGTCTGACTGTGACAGTGTCTCAGAAATGCATCCTGAATATTCACTCACTCGACGTGAAAATACAACAAAGTGTCTGAAAGACCCAAGGGACAGCTGCAGAGATTTATTAACAATAATGCTTTGAGAGTTTATTTCTTTAATTAGAAATACATGCATATGTGCACATGTGTGTTCATATAGGTGTGTGTCTGTGTACACACATTTGTGTGTTTGTGTATGTGTGTAGGCTCATCTATGTATCTGTGTGAGTGTATGTATATATGTGTGCACACCTGTCTATGCATTTATCTGTGTGTATATATGTGTATATTTATTTGTATCTATGTACATATATATCTGTATATATGTATACATCTGTATATATGTATGTATATATGTTTGTGTATACTTGCCTGTGTGTCTGTGTGAGTGTATATGTATATGTGTGTATACTTGCCTGTGTGTCTGTGTGTTTATACTTGACTGTGAACCTCTGTGTGTGAGACTGTGTGTGTATGTGTACACTGACTGTGTATCTGTATAAACATGTGTATATACTTGTCTGTGTGGATGTGTGTGTATACTTGTCTGTGTATATCTCTGTGTGTGTAAAAGAGAGAGTGAGTGTGTGTGTGTGTGTATGTATGTATGTATGTATATGTGTCTCTTTGTGTATCTCTAACTGGAACTCTCTCGCTAGGAACTTCATCCGGGATGCTGGTCTCATGGTCCTCAAAGGTCATGAGGACCTTTGCTAGTATGGCCAAGATCTGGCTGCAGATCACCTCTCTGAACCCCCAAATGAGAACCACCTGCAACTTTCACCCTGCAATCTCATCTTGTCCACAAAAGACAGGAGATGTAGCTTAATTTGTAATGTCAAAGAAGGCCAAAGGGACACGGCTATTGAGTGCTGCCCAGAGTCTAGCCCAGTGTTTGGTAAAACTCCACTCCCCGGTCTCCTGATGAAATTCCCTTTGCTCTTTAAGCTCACAAAACTGGACCCTGTGTTCTGTGGCTAATCAGGGACAGAAAGTATCTCTCACAGCACCGATTAACACAAACTGCTGAACCTGCATTCCGGAAATGTTGCACACACAGTACAGTTGTCACAGCCTAACATGTGGGAATAAACACTGGTGCTGGCCTTCTGGAGCCAGCTGGGACCCTCATATTTCTTGCCTTCAGTCCTCTTGGGGCTTGTATGATAACTCTCTCTACAACAGAAGATAAACCCCAAATTGCTGGGACTCATAGGGAAAGGTTAATTCCCAACACACCTGGGCTGGAGATGTCTGTGAGAGATGAGTTAGTGTTTTTCATGATGTACTGTGGCCTTCCCCAAGTATGAACACCCAGGCACTGGTGTCCTACTAACTGGATAACGGTAAAATGTGGTGTCCCAACTTGTGTCTTTTAAATATGGGAAGGCATCTTTCAACACACAGTGCAGTAGATGCATGTCTTTTCACAAACCTTGAGACAGCCAGAACCCACAAGCAGTCTTCTCAGCTACAACAGAAGGGCCTCTGCAGGGCAGAAAGTAGCTCTATCTGGTCAGAAGTTCAGCCTGGAAATTCTGGTGCATCCCACAAACAGTGGAAATCAGCCTGGCTGTAGCATCACTGTGGGAATGAACGCCCCAGATGCCTTGCTGCATACTGTTTTAAAGAGCCCCAGTGGAAAGAAATTCTAATTTTGTCCCAGCAAATTATCCAGACTCAGACAAAGGCTTTGCAAATGAGATTCTGAAACATACCTGCGGGGACCCACAGGCTTTTTCCTATGGCTTCTCACACCTGGGACTTCCATGAAGAGAGTATATTAGAAACACTATCATCACCTTCAACAGTACCTGGAGACACTGAAAACTATAGGGCTTTGTGACCATGATCACTCTAACTGCAAGGACATAAACACCTCAGGCAAGAATGAC